TGCTCCTGATTGGAATTTAGATTTTGAATTAATGTGTGATGCAAGTGATTATGCCATAGGAGCAGTTTTAGGTTAGAGAAATTCTAAAGTTTTTCATGTTATACATTATGCTAGTAAGGTTCTCAATGAAGTACAAATTAATTATGCGACAACTGAAAAAGAACTGTTAGCTATAGTATATGCACTAGAAAAATTTAAGGCTTATTTGATTGGTTCTATTGTAATTGTTTATACTGATCATGCAACAATTAAATATTTGTTAACCAGATCTAATTCTAAACCCAGATTAATCGGATGGATTCTATTGTTGCAGGAATTCAATTTTGTCATCAAGGACAAAAAGGGCAATGAAAACCTTGTAGTTGATCATCTATCTAGATTAGTGAATACTGAAATGACTAGCAACCAGTTAGAAGTGCAGGAGGAGTTCCCTGATGAAAAATAGATGATGGTGCAAGAGAGGTCATGGTTTGCTGATATGGCAAATTTCAAAGCTGCAGGGGTTGTTCTAGAGAATTTTACTTAGCATCAAAGAAAGAAGTTTTTTAAAGATGCGCACTATTTTGTATGAGATGATCCCTATCTTTTCAAAATAGGAAGTGATAACTTGTTAAGAAGATGTATAACAAATGAGGAAGCTAGAAGCATTCTCTGGCAATATCATACTTCTCCTTATGATGGGCACTTTAATGGAGTGAGTACTGCTTCAAAGGTCCTCCAATCTGGTTTTTTCTGGCCTACCTTATTCAAGGATGCTCACAACTATGTTCAACAATGTAATAATTGTCAGAGAACAGGGGGAATCTCAAGAAGACATGAAATGCCTCTGAATATCATATTGGACTATTGGGGAATTGATTTTGTAGGCCCTTTTTCGTCCTCATTCTCTAATGAGTACATCTTGGTAGAAGTTGACTATGTGTCTAAGTGGGTGGAAGTAGCAGCAACTGCTAAAGCAAATACAAAAACTGTGATAAATTTTTTAAAGAAGAATATCTTTTGTTTTGATCAGTGATAGAGGATCACATTTCTGCAATAATCAACTTCAAAAATGTTTGGAGTATTATGGGGTTAGACATAAAGTTGCATCATCATATCATCCACAAACAAATGGGCAAGTAGAAGTGTCAAATAGAGAAATCAAAAGAATCTTAAAGAAAATTGTTTCATCTTCAAGGAAAGATTAGTCAATGAAGTTGGATGATGCATTATGGGCTTATAGAACTGCATACAAATCTCCAACTGACTTTCTTCCTTTCAACTTTTTTATGGCAAGTCATGTTATCTCCCAGTGAAAATGGAGCACAAAACTTATTGGACTTTAAAATTCCTAAATTTTGATCCTAAATCTTCAGCAGAGAAAAGAAGAACCCAGATAAATGAATTAGAAGAAATGAGACTCAATTCTTATGAATCCTCTAAGCTGTATAAGGAAAAAGTCAAGGCATATCATGATAAGAAAATCTTGAAATGAGAATTTCATCCAGGTCAATCTGTGTTGTTGTTCAACTCATGGTTAAGGCTTTTTCCTGGGAAATTAAAATCCAAATGGTCAGGTCCATTTTTTATAAGAAGTGTTAAGTCTTACGGTGTTGTGGAATTTGAACATCCAGGAACAGGAAAAACATGGACAGTCCACAGGCAAAAAATCAAAGCTTATCCGGGAGGTGAAGTTGAAAGACTCACCTTGATCACTCATCTGATTGAGCCATGAAGTAGACAGTCGTTGAGCTAAAAGACGTTAAACAAGCGCTCTTGGGAGGCAACCTAGTGTTTTGAATTTGTTTTATTTTTGCATTTTAAGTTTTTGGTAGTTAATTGTGAATTGAGATTGTGTGAACAATATGTGGTTTGGTTGTTAAGTTTCGATTGAGTCAATATAGAAGGAAAGAGGAAATAATTTTTGAAGTTTGGTTACTGAAAGCTTTGCATTTGAGTATCATGTTTAAGAGTCAAAATTTTACTAAAAATACTCCAAATTTCTGCATAATTCGCTCAAGCGCCAAAAATTTCGCTTGAGCGAAAATCAGTGTAACCTCTCGGGTTCTTGTTCGCTCAAGCACCAAAAATTTCGCTTGAGCGAAAATCAATGTAACCTCTCAGGTTTTTGGTCGCTCAAGCGAATAAATTTTCGCTTGAGCAAATGTCCATTATTCACTCAAACGAGAAACGCGAGAACTTTCTCTCAAGCGAAGCTATGTTGCTTGAGCAAAAATACGCAGAATTAGAATATAAACCAGAAACCCATTTCAGTTCTCATTTTTTTCAAAACCTATTTTCGTGCCTCAACTTTTCTCCACCCATTTTCCTCTCTAATTCAAGCCTTATTCACTCAAATTTCAGTCCCCATTCACCATTCTAAGCATTCTAGGGTCTTTTAGCGACATTTTCACCGATTGAAAATCGAAATTTTCAACTCTTCTCCATTCATTCTCCCCGCATTTCATTTGTACGTGATTCTTCACTTAAGGTAACATTTCAAACTCTTTTTGGTGTTGTTATATAGTATTGAACGATTGTTTGTGATTTGGGCTGGATTTGATGGTTATGTTAAGTGGTAAAAAATTGATATAATTATGCCTTAAATTGTTATGAAACCATTTAACTTATGTTAATTCTAATCTATTTTTCTCCCAATATAGGATGAATTCAAGAATACCTTGATGCAAGAGTAAGGAGCATAATTGTCAGCATAATTAGAGAAAAATTGAAAGAAAGAAGAACGCTTAAGCGAATGAATGATGCGAGGCCCGACCCAAATTCTCTTATAAAAAGATGTGTTTTGAGAAAGCAAGCGATTTTGGAGGAGAAAAGGCGCGACTACTGCTAGGGTTTCGTCCAATCTTCATGAATTCTTTACTTCTTCCACATTTGGAGCATTGTAATGGCCAACATGAGTGGCTAACTTCATTCTCTTGGAATTGGGTGCACTTCCTTTGAACTCTTTTGTATCATGGTGATATTTTGAGATATTAATCTATGTTTTGATGTTGTTATTCTTATCCTTTGTGCTTTGGAATGATTTATTCTTGATGTTTAGGGTATGATTGGAAAATATATCTTGAACCCTAGATCACAGTAAGAATATTTGTTACGTTAATTGCTAGGAATTGAATGAATGTATCAATTGCTTAACACCATAAACCTAGTGCTGGGAAATCTCTTAATTGTGTGAGGAATCAACATTTATTAGGTTTTCTTATGAATTTCATGTGTGAGGAATCAACATGGATGAATTGAGTAGGTGGCATCAACATTGTTAGGTTAATTGACGTTCTTAATTGACATAGCCATTACAAAAGAGGGATAAGGAAGGAAGTCAATCCTAAGTACCTTTAATTGATATTTTCTCCACAATTTACAGTTCTTTGTCATTTAATTTCAATTCAACTCTTATTTGCAAAACCCAATCTGTTTTAATCCACTTAGTAAGCATAATTGGGAATTTCCATTGAAACCATTTCTCGTGGGATCGACTTTTATTTAATTGAAATACTATACTGCGATTGATAATTTTGGTACGCTTGCCAATAATTCAACAGGTTAGAATGCATATCTATGGGTTAGAATTTCTATTGCACACCAACTGTTTGATAAAATGCCTCAAAGTGATTAACTTAGTTTTTATGTGATATAAAGTTTGTGTTTGCGCATGATTTGCTTAAATGTTTCACTGGGAAAGGATACATGATTTGGTGCACACCAACTATTTGATGAAATGTCTAAGTATGAGTCATAATATGTTTTATTGTATTTGAACTTCTGAAATGAAATGCATAGCATGATCATGACCTAAAAGTCTCATTTTATTAATGATAGGATCAATATATTCAATTAATAGTTAATTATCTTTGTTTATCATGATGATTGTAGATGGGTCCACGAAGAGATACACATGGTGCCTCACATTCTTGGGCTGCTGAAAAGAGGCCCAGAACTGAATCTGAAAAGCCCTTGGTAGACAGAAGCAGGTTCAGGGATGCTGAGAGGCAAGCTAGATTTGAAGCAATTAGTCAGTGGAGCTTTATTGTTGAAAGGCGAGTGGAGCTTAATGAAGGGGAGTATCCAGAATTCAATAATGAAATCACTCTCCGAAACTAGAGACAACTAGCACTACCGATGCCAAAATTTGACCCAGACGTGGTCAAAGAGTTCTATGCGAATGCATGGTTAATGGCAGGAGAGCCATACCGAGCCCGTTCTAAGGTGAGAGGTTACTGGGTGTCCTATGGTCGTGATATCATCAATAACTTGCTAGGCAACCCCCTACACTTAAATGAAGGGGAACTTTGTACCTTCTAGATCTTCAAGAAAAGCAGGCGCTTATCAGCAAATGTTTTTTGGCGATGATGATACTACCAGAGCTTTATGTATCCCAGGCAGAACCTTTGAAGCTAACCTGGCTGGGAAGGCATTAAGGATACTTAGGGGCAACATGACAACCTTAACCCAGATCTGGACATCATTTCTGTTGGCAAACATTGTGTCAATCAAGCACAGATCAGATTTGAATATACCGTTATGTCACATTATAAAGAGCATCCTGGAGGACATCCAAATTGACATTACTGCTCTGATTTCAAAAGAGATTTATCAGTTCATAGTGCTGGAAAGTGGTCCTCGGGCAGAGCAAGCTAAGGCTCTAGGTTCCCTGTTCTCATCACTAATGATGATGTGAATGAGGATGAGGGTGAGATGGAGGTGCGGTTGTGAGTGGAGTGACGTAAGGATGGAAGTGCGGTTATGAGTGGAGAGACGTGAGGATGGAAGTGTGAACGGAGAGGCAAGTGAAGATTAGGTGCAGTGGTGTGAACGGAGAGGCGAGTGAAGATTAGGTGTAGTGGTCGCTGGTTCGGTAACAAAGATAAGTATATTTTATTTGTTTTTAATTTCTTGTTTAAAATGTATACTTGTTAGAGTTTCATACATCAAAGGCAACTTGCAACAAATATAAGTCATCAATTAACATGGATGGCATCGAGTACAAAGAATCAATTAACATGGATGGCAACGAGTACAAAGAATCAATTAACATGGATTGCAACGAGTACAGAGAATCCATTAATAATGGAGATGACAACAAGCATAGAGAATCCATTAACAATGGATATGACAACAAGCATAGAGAATCCATTAACAATGGAGATGACAACAAGCATAGAGAAGCAATTAACAATGGAGATGACAATAAGTATAGAGAAGCAATTAACAATGGAGATGTTGTATTGACTGAGAAGTGTGTGAAATTGTTGTATTGACTGAGAAGTAAACCTGGATTTTGTGTGAAATTGTTGTATTGTTATTGTATTGTTGTGTTAACTATATTGTTATTGTATTGTTGTTTTGACTATATTATTCGTTGTTGTATTGCGGTGTTGACAGTTGTGTTGACTATATTGTTGTGACTGTGATTATGATGGTGTGTGTGTGTTCCGTGGTGGGTTTTGTTTGTAATTTGTATTAGTACATGCTCTTTTGTTCTGTTATTATTATTGTTTTCTTGTAGCTTCCTCTCCTTTGTTGAGGTTATCTTTCAATTTATAGAGAAACCAACATGCAGGATAGCCGAAGCAGTGCAGGGTGCTGGCAGGGTGTGTTGGTAGCTGGCAGGATGTGTTGGTGTCTGAGGGTGGTGCAATGTAGGATGACTGAGGGTGGTGCAATGTAGGATGACTGAGGGTGGTGCAACAATTGGGGAAATAGGGGAAGCAGTGGACAAGTGAAAAGAATGTTCTTTTATCCTCTCTTTTTTAAGTATTTTTTTTCTTTAATCTATTTGGTCTTTACATTAATGTTGTAAAACATTTTCTATTTTATTTATTTATCTATTATAATAAACCAAAATACTCATTAGCTTGTAAAGATAAAAGAAATTAAAAAAAATTGGTTATAAATTACTGAGAAAGAAATATATTGACACACTAAATTAGTGTTTAACCTAATTTTTATATTGGATTAAATGAAAAATTCTTAATTAACACAATTTAATATTTGTTGAATTGAATATAATATATTAAACAATTATTATATTCATGATTATGTACACATAAACATTTTGAATTTATCAATTAAAATCAATAAGGTTGCAGCATAATTCATTATCTCAACTCAAATTAATATTAACATTCTAATTTAGTGTAAACAAAATTTAAAGTGAAATTTAAAATCAAAATTTAATGAATCATCATGTCACTCTTAAACAAACATCATGTTTAGATTGAGAGAAGAAATGAAGTCACAAAATTGAGGATAGTGAAGACAACTTTCAACTTCATGATCAATTCACCAAAAAATTGAATCAACTCTCAAGTTTACATAATCATACTTTATCATCTAAACAAACAACCAGAGAAAGCAAAAAACATCTAATTTAAATCATGATCAAGACATATGTCTTATTACAAAATTGAAAAACATTTTAAAAACCAAAACTATTTTAAAATTAAACAACTATAAATAAGGCTTTTTAGTTATAAGGAAAAAAAAGTTAAATTAGAGAAAGTTAAATGTCTTATCGTCCAAAATATATATATATATATATATATATATATATATATATATATATAGTTAATTCAATATCTATTTTTTTATGAAAATTTAAAATAGTTAAAATCTTATATTGAAGTTTGTCAACACTCAACTTCGTCCGGTAGATATAAAATAATAAATAGATAACAATTTATTTTGAAAAAAAGAAACAATATAAAAATATAAAAAAGGAAAAAAAGAAAAAATGTTTTCTTTTAAACACTTTAAAATAAAAATAATAAATAAATATATATATAATAATAATTTTCTTTAATAACATTTTACAATTTTTAAGAAAAGAAAAATAAAAAATAATAATTTTATTTATAAAAACAAAACAAAAATTTAAATAGTAGGATAAAAATTTAAAATGCAAAATTTTTTCTTTGGGCTAGCCCATTAAATAATCTACCGTAATTTTTTATTTTAAAGAGAGGAGTCGCATAAGGGAGAGAGGCTCATTGTTTAGCACGGGATGGAAAAACTTCACCATGAGATTTTTCTTTTGAGCCAGGAATTCAATCCTAGTGGGATTTTTTTTTTCCCAAATCCACTCTTCTGCCCCACCTGCAACCTCAATTCCCTCCTCCCTCTCACCCACACTCACAACCCGCCTCACATCATCTCCCATCTCCACCTTCATTCACTTTCATTTTTCCCTCTCACCCACTCACGGCCCGCCCCACATCACTTGTCGCGTGAGCAACCGTGCCTCCCAGCCTTGGCGGCGAGCCCTAGCTGCAGTCGCGACTGCATCCTAACCCAGTCTCCACCAAGTTGCGCGACGCCCTCTAGCCACCCACCCATCACCTCGCACCACCATCTGCTGCGTCGCTAACCTCCGTCGTTGGCATCTCTAGCCACCACCGCAAGCCCCTCTAATACCCTAGCTAACCACCACCACCGCTCCAACCTTAGCAACTTCTACAACCACCTTCATCCCCAAAATCTCATTCCCTTTCCCGAATGGGTCCCACTAGCCACCCCTACTGTAACAAGTCCCAGATTGGAAGTTTTCCAAGGAGGCCTTATAAGCTGACAAGTTCTCCGAACTCTTGAGCTCCTTAACTTTATAGATGTTACATCGATACTTTCATTTAGAGTAAGTAAACTCGAGAAGGGCTACTTATTGAGGGATCTGACGACGAGAGGGTTCTAATTGGTAAGAAGACCGAGTGAAGTGCTAGTGAGTGAAGTATCAGGGAGTGCAATCATCAAGAACATTGACTTTCGAATAGGATGGTATTAATAAGTCCCACATTGAGAATGTCTTCTTACCCGATCTCTACTGGAGTTATTACTTATTTTTGTACTTACTTGTTTTATTTTCAAATTATTTCTTTAATTAATTAATAGAAGAAATAGGAATAGTAAATAATATATATATATATATATATATACATATATATTAGAAATTCTTTTATCTCATTCGGAAGGATATAATTTCATAATTATTTATGACTGTGTGATTAAATGTGGAAGAAAGTGGAATAAATGGCCGATACTACTGGAAGGATTTCTCTTTGGATAATAGGTACTGTAACTGGTATTACTGTGATTGGTTTAATTGGTATTTTCTTTTATGGTTCATATTCCGGATTGGACTCATCTTTGTAGTAATCGTATTCTAATTGGATTTTTAAAATGAAAGCTTAAGAACTTAATAGGGATCCACTCTTCTTTGGTCTTATAAGGTGAGAGGTTCTTCAACCTCTTGAGCTAGCTTTTGAGGGATGGTTCCTCTCCTTAGCTTTATGGTTGTTATATTGGTGCTTTCATTGAGAGTCAGCCAACTCGAGAAGGGCTACCCACGGAGGGTTCTGACCAATAAGAAGACCGAGTGAAATGTCGGTGAGTAAAGTACTGGGGAGTACAGCCATCGAGGACGCTGACTTTCGAATGGGGTGGTATTGTAACAAGTCCGGAGGTCTCCTTACCAAGGAGGCCTTATAAGGTGAGAGGTTCTCCAACCTCTTAAGCTAGCTTTTGAGGGATGGTTTCCCTCCTTAGCCTTATGGTTGTTACAACTACCCACTGCACAACCATTGCCACCATCACGACCTCCCTCAGCAATCCCACAACTACTCGCAACACCTACACGTTCTCCAAACAATCACCGTGAACCATCCTCCTCGCGACCGCACCCTAATCCATCGTCCAACCACTGAACCGCCATCTGCGAGTCACCTACGTGAGGTTTTTTTCCATTTTTACTCTGGCCCGACCTTGTTTGTATTAATTTGGAGATCATATCCTTTTTTCTGGTTTGAATAATGTGGTTTCAAGTGTGGGTTTTGATTGGTTCCCAATGGGTATTGTTTGGTTAATCTATATTTGTGGATTATGTTTCCTTTTGATCGATTCCTATCATTTTATTTGGCTTTGGTGTGACTATTTGGTTCTAATCAGGGGCTACTGAAGCAATATTGAAGTGTTTTGTTATTCATATGTTGGCTACTTAAATTTATATGTACTGAATGTAATTGATGAATGTAATTGATGTATGTGTGTGTTTATTGGTCGGGTATCGTCATAGCTTTCATCGAGATTTTACTGGATGGTTGGGTCTTGCTATCAGGGGGGTTATGTATTGTTGTCACTAACACGAGTGTTTGGGTTTTAGACTGCCCTTTTCTGTTTTGTGAGGACTATAGTCTAATTATTTTGTTAATATTGAATTACTATGTTTCGAATGGGTGTTGGGTAATTCGGATAAGGACTTGGTCTCATATTTGTTTTTCTATTATCCCTTTTTGGTTTTTGGGTTCTCCCTGTTTGTATGGGACTAGGACTGTAATATTGGGTTGGATCGTGTTCAGACTATATGGTTGCTGAGTCGGCTATTGTTGTAACGTGTATTGGATTGATATTACTGTGATATGCGTTCGCACGTTATTCGATTTAGGGTTGTCGGCCCATGTACCAGTCTAGGGTTGTCGGCCCCGCGTACTGATCTAGGGTTGTCGGCCCCAGTAGGCATAAACTTTGAGGTACGACTACGGTTGCTTGCGACGTCATGTTCTCTATTTTTAATAAACTTTTGAGGTATGAGTATGATCGCTCGCGTCGTCATATCCTCTATTTTTAATAAATTTTTGAGGTACAAATACGGTCGTTCGCGACATCATGTCCTCTATTTGTTTTAATAGACTTTTGATGTATGGGTAAGGCCGCTCGGATCATCATGTTCTCTCTTCTAAATAAACTCTTGAAGTATGAGTATGATCGCTCGCGTCGCCATGTCCTCTATTTTAAATGTCATCATGTGTTTTTAAAACATCATAAACAAGATTCAAAACAAAATACAATTTTTTTTCAAGAAAAAAAAATAATTTTCAAACATTAATCAAACACACAAACTTTTTCTAAAGAACTATGTAACCCTGATTTCTCATTTTTTTATGAGAATATGGAGGAGCAAGGTCAATCCTTGTCGAGCCCTGAAAAACTAAAAATATTTTTGTTCATTTTATTCTTTTTCTCTTTTTATTTCTCGATTTTCTGATTTTGGAGGAAAATAAATATTTTTTAAATGACATTTTATTTTGCACATTCAACTAAGAGTAACCGTGTAATATGCTGTAATTAAAAGAAAAATAAAAAGAAGAAGAGAGAGAAAACTTGGTTTTCTTCTTCTTCTCCGTACAAACGTATCCCCCATCTCCCTAACTCAGCTCTACCTTCTCTCCTACAGATCAAGACTTCCTTCTTCCCCAATCAAGAATCTGAGACCGCCGTTGTGCTCACGACGGAGAATAGCGGAAGACCCACCGATTAGAATTTCGTTTCGGTAAGTTTGAATTTTAGGGTTTTTGCTAGTTAAAATTTGGGGTTTTGAGAATTTAAGGAATTAATTGTGGAATTAAAGGTTTCCTCTTACTCTATCACTCCCCAATTTCATGTTTTCGGGTTTAATTTTGTTTATTACTTCAATTTCGTTTTAGGGTTTTCCAAATTGGGGGAGAACGGTACAAATTAGGTGTTTTGGCATTCCTAAGGTTTTATTGGAATTAGGTTGACGTGTAACATCACCCTCGGGTAAGGGAAGCTTCTTTAATTTTTACTTGGTTTGTATTGATGAAAAGTTTGATAAAGTGAATGATGAGTATGTTTGTGAGATATATATATATATATATATATATACGTGCTATACGTGATATGAGAGTATGTTTGTGATATATATATATATATATAT